CAGCGATAAGCGCTCAATTCAAGACACCAATTCATAACAGCTTTTTAAGACTAAATCATGAAGCTCTTGGAAACCACTGCGTTTTTGGATAAGGTTTACTTCATTATGGCAAAGCTAACTAGGACTATCTGCCTAACGGAAGAGATATTGTTGTGGAGGACTTTCGAAGAACTGGCTTGTATACACATTACACATGGGGAAAATCATGAAAACACCCTTGCAGCCAGCCCGTTCGCCTGGAATCGGTCCCAGGTCGAAACTAAACCAGTGTTCAGCGATTTTACCGCTCGGCCGCTAGCGGGCCTTCTTTGGATGAGTTACAGCATTTATTGACTTCATCCATTCAGCTGCTACTAAATTGTTTTACAAGAGAAACCCATCAGTTGCCGAGCTGTAAAACCATTGAATAATGGCAAATCGATCCTATTGGTTCAAATCCCGGCACCTGAGCTGGTTGCATGGCAGGTTTTTCCTGTTTTTTTTTTTTTTTTTTTTTTTTTTCGTGTGTAACGTAAGAACCAGTTTGGTTTATAATCTTCTTCTCTAAGAGGAGAGAAATTAACTCGTTCTTGCGTCCATTTCCATACTTTTCGGAAAAACAGCTGGAAATTATACGTAATTTGAAATCCTGCAATTCTAGATATGAAAAATGCCGTTACAAAAATTACATTTTCTGACGCCGTGTAAAAGTGACCTTAGCAATAAAAAATAAGTAAAGATTTTATATTTCTCAAATATCATTCTCAGTTTGCTGTTTGCTTAACTAAAGATTAACTCGTTTTTTTCTTTTCAGATATAAAAGTCGTTAGCATTTTGTTTAATTTCTTTCAAAGTATCCTAATATAGTATTTAGATATCGAAATCTAAGTATAGAAAGTAAGAATAATCTGCGTTTAAATCACATTGTACCAGAAGGTCTTTAAAAACTTGAAAGAAATATCGCGTGGTGGGAAACAAGCACATGCCGTATGATTAGCCTATATATCTAGGCATTGCGATAAAAAAATATATTTAAAATTTTAGATTCCGCTGATCACTAAAGTATTTCGTAATTCCGCTCATCAATAAAGCATTTGGCAATTCTCACGCTGAGGGAATTTTTTGTTTTAAACATTAGGTTTGTTAAATACATTTTCAATAATTTACATTTCTCTTTATGTAATTACATCATTATAGTAAGTCTCAAGCGGAGAATTATTTTAGAAACTTTTCCTTTTTGTTTCTTACCGGACAATTTTTCTCATCATCCATGAATCACTGAGGTTGTTAATAGGATGCATAAACTGTATTGTTTGCTTTACCATAAATATACAACAGATTCATTTAAGCAGTCTTTTACAGAAAAATTCTTGCAGAGAGAGTTAGTCATCGAGCGTGTTTTACTCTCGAAATAAATAAAAATACTTAAATATATAATCTTCTTCTTCTAGTGGTATAATCCAAACATTATGTTTCAACCGATGAGCTTTTTTTTACCTGGAAGTATGGGTATCTAGACGCTTTGTTCACTTACAGATCGAAATATTGAACGTGCCTTATCTTAAATGAAGTTATTACTCATTTCTAAGAAAACTTGTTCATGTTAATTCGTCAATACGAGAGAAAGGAGCCCAGACTTAAATTTGTTAAGGTAACGGGAAAATTTCTTCAAATCGAGAAAGTAATTATGTTCGGATTCTTAAATTTGATTCCTCGAATATTTTTAAAAGTGTTTGCAAAAAGTGTAATTTCACGGTAAAAATCCGTAAGAAGCGATTATACGATTTGCTCACAAATTTTTCAACATAACAATGCATACATTCATAGCAGTGCATACATTTCAACATTTATCACAGTGCTCATAAATAGTAAATTTCCTTTCCCTATGATTTACCTCTTCAGGAACCCACGATGTGAGAGTGCTTTAAACTATAAATACGGTATTGTTAATAAACAGTTTTGCTTGGGGCTTGATTATTGGCAAAACGAGCTGTTAGCATCTTAGGCTTCGGGGCAAAATGTCTGACGGGGTCTGAGTAGATAATTACAACTCAAAACTATAGTCTATTATTTTAGAATATGCACTTCAGGGTTATTTTTTTCCTCTCAGCTTGCCTTGTAACCATGGTAACGACAACTGCGGTAGATGTTCAGATCCCATAATGCTTTTTTCCCCATATCTTTTCCGTTTAGCCCATTCCGCTTGGCGAAAAGCGCGCGGATTAAAACTTACTTAAACTACAGTCTAGGATGCGATGGAGAAAACTGTATGGTGATAACAACAGGTGTTACGTTCGCACAATAGGGGATGGTGGAAAGAACTTGAATTCCTATTTTAAAGCAACAAGTTATAATAGTTCGGTAAGGTTTAAATTCCACTGAAGGGACTACCTGCAGGCTTTTATAAAGTTTTCTATGTGTAATGTAAGTACGAGATGGTTTCTCTTAGGAAGATCCTCCACAAAGGCATCCATTCCCTTAGACAGATAAAGGCAAAATTAGTATGCTTTACTATAAAAAAGGAATTCTCAAACATTTCTTGTCCTATAAGCTTAAGTGCAAACCAATTTCACTGAGAATATCTTGAAAAGAGAAGTGTAAGTTGATTTGTAATTGGAAATATACGCCTAGAATAAAAATTTAAGAAATCTAAACTTGCAGTCCATTAATCAAACTCCTTTCAGATATAATACATAAGGAAAGAGAACTGGAATTTCAGGAAGAATTGGCGATAAAAGTAAAATATCAGAAATCTTAGATTACATTGATCATAAAAACATTTATTAATTCTTACATTGAGGCAAAATTTTGTTCGAGAATATTCGAACATTAAATTTCTTAAAAGAAATTGCAGCATTCATTGTACATTTTTGTAAACACATTAGTGTAATCAGCTTCAAACGGAGAAATACCTCGGGACTTTCCTTTCTCTCTTGCCGTTTCGTCACCACATCATCATTTTCTCATCACCAACGAATGATTTGGGTGTTAATGAAATGGTCTGATTGTTTGGTTTGCATTTCATCATATATGTATACATATGAATACGAAACAGATTCATTTAAGATGTCCTTCATAGAATTATCCTTCAAATGGTATAGACCAAGCATCATTTTTAACCTGATGACATGTTTGTTTATAGAACGGAATATCTTAGTTATGTAGACGCTTTAACGTTTTTCAATCAAATACTCAAAATATTTAATCTTAAAATGAAGTTATTATTTGTTTTTCTGTTCATATAAATTTCGAATTCAATATTCAAAATATATAAATTTCGAATTTTCTCGAACCGCCGATAAAATTCGTTAAATCAGGGAAAGAAATATAAGATAAAATAAATATTGTTATCAAGTTGCTCTTTCAGAAACGAGGCAGCAACCAAAATGTGTTAAAAGCGAATGATACCAACCTACCATCACAAACTGCTCTAGACATTGTTATTCATGATGTTTTCATCCAGCCATGCCTTTGGGCGGGATTTTGGCAAAGAACTGTTTTATTTACGTAGAAAGATTAGGGTTTAAAATCTTCGTGTTTGAAGAGGGAAAAATCGACTTGCAGCAGGAATCAAATACGTAATTTTAAAATGACTGCTAAATTGGTTGACATAAGGAGACGTTCTCTAACAAAGATGGAATAGTTGGATGATTTTTTATTATTCATTAATACGAGGAAATGTGACGAGACTTTTTACCTAATTTTTGTGGGAAAATTGTAAAAATTCGTTACATTGATAAATTTTAATTCGTTAAATCATGAGTTTTCTGTATTTTTAAAGTATTCTTCAAATGTATAATTTTATATGTTAAGTCTGTGAAAATTAAGTCTCCAAAATTTTTGCCAGGGCAGTCAAAGGTTAGGACAGTGAGCATAAATAATAGGTTTTCTCTGAGGTTTTTTGTTTTTAGAAACCGATAGCGTCCGAGAGCTTAAAACTACAAAAACAGTACTAATAAACAAGTCAGGGGCTTGCTTCTTGGCAAAATGAGCTATTAGAATTGAACATTTTCCTCATGTCCCTCAGTGGTCGAATGGATAAGACTGCTGAACACTAGCAGTACAACCTGAGTCCTAATTCTGCTGAAACTTTCTTTCTAATTCTAACGTGAATATGAACCAGTTCCTCTTAAAAAATATTTCGCAAAGGCATCCTTTTTGTAGTGTTTTCTGTCATAGTCGGGAAACCCTAATAAATGCATCCTTTTATAAGCATAAGAAGTATAAGCGAGTATAGCATAAAAAGTGTTAAAGAACTATGACTTTAAGACAGTTTGCAATGCTAAACATACGCCTACAATAAATATTAAGAAAGTAAACCCTGTACCCATCTTTATCAAGCAACACACAGGGAAAAAGTAGAATAAGCAGATACAGGAATCACAGCATAAAACCATAAATAAAAGAATAAAACTGCTAGTTTTATTCCAAGCTTGACTCCATATAAAACTTTCTCACTGGATGTTTATATTGTTTCTGGCTTATAATATCTCTAATCATACCCTTTCCGCCCGGGCTGTCATCTCTGTTTTGGTCTAAATTTTAAATATTATCTACAAGGAAGCAGCGAGTCTTGATCAGGTGATGTTTACTTAATTTCCGCAAAATATATGAGAGCTGTCTATCTGCATTTGAAGGATAAAATATTGTTTGTTTTCCCATCGAAAATGTTGGCTGAGAGCAACCCAAGGGACGAAATCCGAGGATCCTCCACCCTATAATTCTTTAAGAAGCCTTAAATCATCTGAATGTCAGTGTTCTCCCGCAACATAAACGTTTCTAACTCCCCCCCCGTCGACTTCTTCCAAATTAAAGTAAGAGAATGAAACACTTATCAGTTTTGTATAGCAAAATATTTGGAATCTCTTGTAATCTTCAGTACAGTTGAGCCCTGCCATCATATTGCCCTTTTCGTGACAATTTTACTTTACCGTTCCTGAGTAATTTCAGGAAAACGCGACAGTTGATTATCAGTTAGCGATAAAACAGCTGCCAAGTTTTCTTCACAAAATTTTTATCTTTTGAAGAATTCTTATCAACTAAGTTACTATAAAAAAGAGGAAACTGTTCTATAGAGTCTACAAGGTGCTGTAAGCTATCTGAGAATCTAGGTAAGTAATCAGTCAGTTATATGTATTTTAAGTTAATTTTTGCCTAAATTTCAAGGACTTTAAGATAAAATGGATAATATAGAGAAATTGTTTATAAAATGTTGCTTGATGTGAAAGCAGTTCAACTCAACAGGCAAAATCAATGAAAAACTATTTCGTTTATCTTTTACTAATATAATTTTAGTATGAAATAATGTTATAAATAATGTATTTAATTATAGAACTTATTCTGTAATATTTTTTCAATTCTTAGAGCTCTGACTTGTAATCATGCTGCGAAAATTGCTTTTCTTGACTGTAGTCTTTGGTAAGTCTTTTTTGCTTCTTATTTAAATTACTGAATTATATTCGTTAGAAATTATCCTGTAAGTTATTCCTATACAGGAATAGTGAAAGAATAACTAACAGTTACTGAGTAATCGCTATTCCAGGAATGAATAACTAACAGTTTATGAGTAGTCAGTTATTCCCAGAAATAAATAACTAACAGTTACTGATTAATCAATTATTCTTAGAAATGAATAACGGTTTCGTTTTTTAAGATGAAACATGTTCGGTATTTTCTCAGACAATGACAGTTGCTAATTTTGAATTATATAATATTTTCTAGATAAGCAAAAACTGAATTAGTTAGAACGTGATGTTCATGTCTCTTGGCCCCTAATTCACCAGTAGCCGAGTGATCAAGACCGTTAAATACTCAGAAATTCGATTTAGGTTCTTTCTCAGCTGTACGGGCTGAGTGCACGGTTGGTTTTTCACCCTGTGTAATGTGAATATGAGACAGTTTTTCGCAGAAAATCCTCTATGAAGGCATTCTTTTTCTAGCTAGATATCCCTCGTGTGCTTTGCCATATTCATATAACCTAACTTAACCCTGGACCCTTATCATACCAAATTGAAGGCTAAAGAAAATATTGATTCCTTTATGTTCCGCTTAAAGGAATTTTTAAGCGATGTATAAAATAACTTTTTTTGAACTCTGTTGAGTAAATTTACGATTACCAGAGTTTCCATTGCTTTGATTTATAGCTATATATATGTTTGATATGTGATATATGGTTTTTAGAAATATTTCTAGCAAAAGAATAGAAACAAAGTATTCTTTTGTTTAATTTAATAGGTAATCTACAATATTCACATTTATTGTGAATATAACTTATAAATACCACAAATAGTAAGTTCAGTATTTTTATATGTATAAATTGCAGTCTTGCTTAACACACTCCTAAAATCTACATTTTTCATAAAAGTTTGCCGAAAGAACAGAATTTAAAATATTCTTCTTAGCCCTCCAACGCCTAGCGGTAAAACCGCTGAAATGTGGTGGCCTCATCCTGTGTTCTACATGAGACTTTTATGGTTTTCTCCATGTTCAATGTGACTACAAACTATTTCTCCTTAAGAAGCCCTCCACGAAGGCATTTTTCCTTTAGGTAAATAACTTTCGCGTAGTCTGCCGTAATCCAACAAAACAGGTTCAGAATATATTTCCAAGTCAAAATCTTTTAGTTACTTCCTGAGGTGGATTACAGCGACTTGCTTAATTATGATTAAGTATGCCAGGCATAACTCGACCCAAGTTGACACGATTTAAGGTTTTATTTTGAAGCAACTGAAGAGCCAAATAGTAATCAAAGCAACCATAATTTAATAAGAATGTTTTTATTGGAGAACTTTTTGGTAGCGGCACGAGATTTTTTTAAGGCTTAAAATTAGGATATGTAATTATGAGAAATTTGTATGTTCTAATAGAAAAATTGAGTATTAGAATTTTAAGCTCGTACATTCTTCCCCCACACTTTACACTCGAACTGAAACCGATACTCTGCAATACCATTGCACTGAAAGAATTTACAGATAAGCTTCAGCTTATTTCCTTTATTTCTGATAAGAAATACTAGCATTTTTAAACGGTATGAAATGACAAATCAATAAAATTGGAAGAATTCTACCCTAAAACAATAACGAAAAGGCTTCTAAATGTCTAAATAACTTTAGTTAATGGAATTATCTTCTGCGTCGTTTATAGGTAAGATGAAAGCTCTTGAATGCTTATTTCAGTCGACTGTTTAATTTGTTAATGTATTTTTGTCAGTAGAATTCGATAATAAAGTTTTTCATTATATGAGAGTTAACCAGAAAATACGCCATAATTATTTGTTTAGAGAAGACTGCGTTTAAGAACAAAGCTTTACTTTTAGCAGTATTCTTGCCTGTTTGCATAAACTTCAAATTCTACCGATCTAGAAGATGCAATATGACTAAAACCGAAAAGTATTGTCAGTTCGTCTGGAGTTCTATTCCTAGCGGCTAAACAAGCTGATTTTATGAAACTGTCGGGAATTTATATGTGGGTTCCGTAAATATGAACTAGAGTTTTTCTCTCAGTTTACTCACGAAGCCATTTCTTCTTATATCAAATTTCATAAGCAGACAGACCACTTGGTGGTTTATTATAGAAAACCCACCAACCATCAAAATTAACTAACTCACTATATTTCTTACATTCAACTTATATCACTGTTACTGCTGCTCAATAAGTTTCACTTACGGAAGGCCTAGAGTTATCTTCAGTGCCAGCGCCAGATCCGATGCCACCGACCGAACTTAGTAACAGCATTTTTTTTAGAATTTAGGAAGGAATCGCTGGAAGAATTTCGAAGTCGCAAAGTTTGCATTGGGCGGCAAAAATTTAGTACCGCTCTTGGTTATGCCAGCTGTATCAATAATGTACACATTTCCTAGTTAGAATTTATTTTGATTTCCAACCTAAATTTAAAAATAAAGAAATTTTAATTAAGGAAGCTTGCACACAAAATTATGCTACAAGAATATTTTTTTCCTTTTTCCGCATTACTTCATTTCGTTAAAGATAAATAACACCACTAACCAAGATATGATCAGTGAGCGTTGAAGGTTCATTCATGAAGTCTTCCCCATATTTTATGTAATATTAAACAAGAGTTAGTCGGCCATTAAAGATTCTGTTCTAAGACAAATAACAATTAAGTGCTTTGCTGTAAATAAATAACCCAACCTATACTAGCCTAATATAATTTAATCTACAGACAAACAGCAATGCAGACTTACAATGCAGTAGTTACAATATCATTCTGAAAGCACGGTTCTTTATTTATAGACTCTCATCACCGTCTTCAGGATATATATTCTCATTGTAATAGTAACAGGTGAATAAGATTTGGCTCTAAAAATACACCAGTTTTTCTTTGAAACCTTCTACTGGGTAATTTATGCATTGCATTAAGAACTGCAGAAAAATTAAATTAGTATATCTGTGTTACGTACATAAATACATAATATGGGAGAAAAGAAATAAGCAGGAGCATCAAATAGGTTTGATGATGCAAAATATGTAAATCAAAAGTGAGGGCGACTAATTCTAAAGAAGAAAAGCCTAACTTTTGACATGTAGTTTCGATAAATAACTTTTATTGGCCTGACCTTTGATTTGGCCTGACCCATTTTAAGTCTTGAATACAAAATGTTTCGGACTCTGACAACAATTTTAATAAAACCTAATTTTAAAACCATAAAAGTGAAAAACCTCGATTAAAGTAAATTCGTCTGAATTGAAAGCAAAGTACTCTAGAGCTATGTGCCTAAGGAAATGTAATGTACTTCCGTACGGGTTCCGCTATCCTTATTTCAAGCCCTATACGGACTGAGCCTAGCTGAGACACATCCGTATTAGGCGGGAGGTAGACCTTTAGTCTAATTCCCCATAAACAGGTAGAACTTCCTAAACTAGCCAGTATTCATGTTACATGTGGGGAAAAACTCCAGACTTAACATGCAAACTATCCCACCAGTGGCAGAGTGTTTTAAAATCACTTGAATACTAGTATTCAACTTGATTTGGGTTTGATCCCAGGCAAACGGACTGCTGCATGGTTAGTTTACTTCTTGGTTTTTTCCCCATGTGTCATTGATTTCATGTGCCATTGTAGACTTTGATGTCTCCGAGACGTCAAGAACTGTCTTCGGCGAGCGCCAAGCAGTATATTATTTATTGTTAGAGAAAGTAAATTTGAAAACAAAACATTCTGTTTCTAAGCTTGCACATGAGTGTCTAAATTAAATGGTATTCTTTGAACGTGTATTTTATTTGTATGTCAAGGGGTTAAACGTACAAGCAAAGCAAATTTTATCTACTTTTGAAAAGAGGCCGTTATGTGCAGGTTTACGAAGAATATATCTTCATAAAGTTAAAAGAGAAACCCTGTCAACATATTTCCTTAGATTCAAACTTGAGACAAAACTGCAAATAATACTCAGCACCTTTAACCGGTTATTTAATAAGTAGTGAATTATGGCGATTATAATTTTATATAGTTAATTTCATGCCATAGTTTAAATGCTTACGTGTTTCCATGAAAAGCGGAATAGAAAATGTGACATGTTCTGCAAAATGATGATATTGTGTTCTGTAATTAAATTTTTAGATCATTTTTCTGAAGTTCTACTTGCATTTTATTCCAAAACTTATTTTAGTTTTGTGCATGTCTTGGTAAAATATGTTTTGCTGAGTTGGAACTTTCCGGCATTTTCGGCTAGCTTTCTCATTCTATTTGAAGCAAATTTCAGATTCTTCGAACAACGAAAAGTTATTGACAGTTTTTTAAAATGCGTTTCATTTCCTTTCTTAGATTTATTTTAAATTTAATAAAGGAAATTTTTGCAGAAGCAAAGTTACAGAAATGAGAAATAAATTTTGAAATGCATTTATAATTTTTACTACATTAACCCTTTCGCCGTCCTCTCCTGTCCGCGAAAATTTCCCCCCAGCCGCCGTCTGTTTTTCGTAGCGTGTAATGTTGTTTTCTTGTACATCATAACTTCCCATACATGACTTTCGTAGTGGATGAATGTCAATGAATATTAAGTAAGATTATAAGGAAGTAAAGCATAATGGAAATATAATAATAATTCTCTGCTTATTTCTAACAATAGGATAATTTGGTAACATCTGATCCAGGCGGTCCACTCCTCCCATTTTATTGTTGTAATCTTTTATGATTATTGGTTTTTTACAGTTCTTTTCCGTGTTCCAACATCAATCATCGAGTTATTATGGACTGTACTCATCAAACGTATATCCTTCTTGTCTTTCCAATTCACAACCTCATTTTTTCTCTTTTTCTGCTGAGTAGACGTTGAAGCCATCTCTCACTGTTTTGTATCTTATGGTGCGAATATTCATAAAAACCGGGACAAATTCAATTAGAAATAGAATGCTTGATTAGCGCTACCCTCTAGGAGGTATAATGTAGAAGAACGCTTGAGGCGCGTTACGGCCGCCCTGCAGAAGTTTCACTTGAACGCGCTAGACGGGTTACGGACGATGAAAGGTTAAAGAAATTCTGAATTGTCATGTAGACCATTTTTAGTAGTAAACTATTAAAACGGCCCACCAGCGGCAGAGCGATTAAGTCGCTGAACATTGGTAGTTCACTCCGAGGTTCAGCGTCAGCTGCATAGGCGTTTTCCTGGTTTACCACATGCGTAACATGTAGACGAGCCAGTTTCCCTTAGAAAACCCTCCACGAAGGCTGTTGTAGTGCCCGAGGGCGGAGCATGTAAATAATAAAAAACAACTTTTAAAACAACTATAAGGTATGACTCTTGTCAGTTTCCCTGCTTGCTAAAAAGAAATAAGTTTCGGCATAACTATTGATAAAAGATTTTCAAACTCGCGTTAAAAATACGATTGAAAGTTTTTCAAAAGAACTCCATTCTTAAGAATAGTAATTGCCTCGGATAAGGTTTAACATGATTTTTCAGATTTTTAATTTCCAAGATTTTTCAGTTTTCAAGTGTGTTTTTAGATTTTTTTATTTCCCGAGACTTTTTAGTTTCCTCTGTCACTAATGGCAGAGTCTCATATTCGTGCTAAACTAGCACTATTAAACTAATGCTAGTAATAACTTTCAATTTTTGTTTTTAGATAAAATGGATCTTCAAATAGACATTTGAAAGTGCTTTTAATGTAATATAGTAATCAAAAGTTTTATAATTTACTGTAACACACAACTTTCAATAGTAAGTATATCTTAAAATTTAAAAAATAAAAAAATACAAATTAAATCATTCTGAGAAAGTCGTCATCGAAATTTTATTTTAACTATTATATCGTATAAAAAATGTATATTTATTTTAATTTCTATCCTTCAGGTGCTGCTTTTGCCAGTCGTTCTGCAAATCAGTACATTGATACTGTGATCCGGAATGGTTTGCCCACTGCCACAAGAGAGCTAGGCTTAGACCCTCTTAAATTGTCAACATTCAGTACTCGATTTGGCCCAACAAGTGTATACCAATCCCAAGGCGAAGCCACTTTCACTAACGGCAATGCAACTGGATTGGCAAAATTACAGAGGGTAGGAGATTGTTCTGGGCCTTCCATGTACCGAGGAGAACTCTCGATAAACTGTACTCTTAGAGTTTACCACATCAATCTCTCATACCAGGTCACAGCCAGGAACGGCACCCGCTATTACCCAGCAAGAGCTGGTGGATTTGTCCAAGAAACAACATTAAACTTGGAAGTTGTAGGGCGTCCTCAAAGCTATGTTGGATCTGTGAAAAATTTCCGACTTGTTAAACTTGGAATGGTGAATCCTACTGTCAACGGACTTCCCGTTTCACTGAACACTTACTTGAAAGTCATGTTTGACGCATATAGAACCCATGTATCTTCTGAATTATTTAATGTATTCCAGCAGAAATATGCGTATGCTCTAGGCAGAGCTTTAGCATACACACCAATGCCAAGACAATAAGCATCCTACCTTAAATTAAATAAAAAGTATTTCCTTACAAAATAGTGTAATATTTTTATTTTTACATATTTCATTACTACCATTCAACAGTTTGCTGCTAATAGGATACAGATTGCACAGATTTAAGAGTTGATTAAACCAGTTATTCATTCGAATTAAATCTACACAAAAATCTATCGAAACTGTTATGTAATTATGAATAATAGACATAACAAAAAAGTAAACATAGCCTGTATCATATTTCATGTTAACCATAGACATACAAATTGTAGTAGTCCCTATTAAAAGCAGCGTAATGAACTGAATAGGAAAACCCATAATTTCAAAACCATATATAGCATACCAATGAATTTTCAGAGCAAAGATGAAATGCGGCCCTCGCTGTTTAAAAGGTGACAAAATAATCCCTAAGGCTTAATTTTTTTAAAAATTGGGACCTTACATAGCAAACATCTTTCTTTCTCGTTTACTTATTTACTTTTTGCGAATGTCATACTTTTTAAATTGATTTTAATATGGTATCAATATATTTTCTTGTCTCACATTGTAACATCATGTACTTTTCTTTCGATTGCAGAGGCCTACCAGCGGCCGAGCGGTAAAAGTCGCTGAACACTGGTAGTTCGGTCCGAGGTTCGAATCCCGCGAACGGGCTGGCTGCATGGGCGTTTTCGTGGTTTTCCCCATGTGTAACGTGTATACGAGCCAGTTTCCCTTAGAAAGTCCTCCACGAAGGCATCCCTCCTCTTAGGCAGATAGCCCTCGAGGCTTTGCCATAATCACTTACACACTTTCGATTGCAATTAATCTCATTAGTGGCCTATTGGTTAAGGCCGCTTGAATACTGGTAGTTTCAAGCCTAGACAGACTGGTTGACTGCAACTTGATTTTTGTAATTTTCCCCCATGTGTAACGTAAATACGAACCAGTTCTCCTAGAATATCCTTGACGAAGACTCCCTTAACAGCCTTAACAGGGAGTTCTTACCATATTTCAGTAACCAATTCGATTGCGCCTCCAAATGCTTTCGTTAATGTCGTCTCCTTCCTTGACCACTTTTTAATTTTAAAACTCAAGTTATGATACCTCTTTATTGGAAGAATGATGTAGCATCTTTTTAATTCCGTGTTAAATAAAAAATTTTTAACATTTTTTGGGAAAAATTTAATGCGAAAGAAACTACAATGATAATGCATGGTCAGTTCAAAGCTCTTTCATTTGGACGAGTAAGTTTCCGTGGTTAAAAATGCCAGTTGTTTGGCTATTGTTTACGATGTATGTTAGCAATTGATCGACGATCCTGCCGCCGTTTATACAGGGTGTTTCTAAGTGAATATTGGGGTTTTAACGCTTTGTGGTATTTATTACGTAAAACTTAAAATCATAATTAATACCTGAAATGAAAGAGGAACTCAGTTCTGTCTGTTGGTACGCGCATGCGTCAAAAAGCGCTAGTAGCAAAAATGGCCACTAGTGAATAGAAACCTTTTTTTGTTTTTCAGTTTTTTGAAGATCGGATTTGTAGTTACTGTGCAACGTGCGTTTCGGATTAAGTTCAAATGTGATCCCCCAAGTGATAATACCTTCCGTAGATGGTATCATCAGTTTGAAAATACCGGCTGTATTTGCAAAGGGAAGAGAATGAGACGACCAAGGGTTAGTTGGATTAAGAGCTTTCGACTTGATGTGTGCCGTGTGACGAAAGGTGATCACATTGAACAAGTGTAAGCTTGTATGTGTAACTGTTTGAATTGCTCTTTCATTTTATACATTAATTAAAATTTTAAGTTTTACGTAATTAACACTATAAAGCGTTAAAACCTCGATATTCATTTAGAAACACCCTATATAACGGGAGCCGTAATAACAAGGAAACATCAGCTTTTGAATCTATTGTGTCGTTTAAATGTGTACTGAAATTTACAGTTAGGAAGATTCATTGCTAAGAACAATTATATGATAATTAATATTTACAAAACTGTTTTAATTGATGCAAGTTGAAAGAAATGCATCTATGGATGCGAATGATTGATTGTTTAATTGATCCAAGCAAGAATTTATTAGAACTAAAAACTGTTACTAAGAACGCCTGTTAAATATCTATGGGCACTCGCATTGCAGACCACAATATACATCACCCCTTATCAAGTAAATAAGCACTACATTACAAACTTTTAACATTCCATACAATATTGTTAAATATCTAAATTAATTGTATATGTGTATGCGAAACGCACAATATTACTTTTCTAGTATTTCCTTGAGTATCTCGAAGCATATGGGAAAATAGACATTATCTGCTTAAATAATACTATAAAAAGATGCTTAAAATGTTTTTGCAGTGTAACTTTATTTGGAGAGGTACTTAGTTTCTTTCAAATGGCATATCATATTTTATTACCATCATACCTTACAAGGTATACATACTTAAGCACTTTCATCGCTCAGGGGATTAATTCAGCAATTATTTAAATGAATAATATATTTCAATACTTTAACAATACTTCTATTACACAAACATAATTACTGAATATCCCTGTGCATACATATGAATAGATTTCCTTAAAATCATGTTCATAAACACTGTTCAAAAAGGTCCTACAGGCTTTATGTCCAAGCCATGAATGTAATACAGGTGATAATTATGTAATGCAAAAATAACTAAAAAATTATAAATTGTACTAATAAGGAAATAAAATTCATGCAGAAAAGAAGAACGACCTACGTCAAAACTTGAATGTAATTTGCATTTAAGCACATGTTAAGGGAGATTGTAAGGCAGAAATTCCTTTCATGAAAGGGGAATGCCTCACTTCACTACATTTGCTAAATTTAGTTTCGTTAAAAGGAGCATTTAATATGGCCAAGCAGGAGTCAACAAAGAACTGACGTCTATAAGTAATATGTAATTCTTCTCTATTAATGTTTACGAGTTGCACATTTTAGGCCAGTCTACACGTTGTACATACTCATCTAAAGCAATATATATAAAGCAATCGCAATGACACATATCAGCTATAGAATTTCATTGTTATTTGGAAACAGGCAGAGGCAGCAGAGGGCAAAAATAAAAATATTTTAATTTCTTTATTAGAACGCTGACTGATATCTTTATGATGATAATTAATATTAAGGCCAAAATTAATTTAAGGTTCCTTAAATATTATGCTTATTACTTCTTAATTAAGGGGACCGCGTCAACTGTCGAGCCAGTAGTTATATAACTCTAGTAGTTCGACCGGGATTTGATTTTAAGTGAACGAGCTGGCTGCACGGCGTTTTCGTGATTTTCCTCTTGTGTATCTTGGATAAGAGTTAGTTTCCCCTAGAAAGCTTTACTGTAATCAAATAAGTCAAACTAAACTTTAAAGTCCACAGTTATCAGCGGTTAAAATAAATTTATTGAAGAGTCCAAAGATTGTAAGACAATCTCAGGCTCGAATTTCAGTATACAATCAGAGGCAAGCGGATTTCCAGAAAATCTTCTGTGCTTATAAAAGTTGTAATCGAAAATTACTAGAAATTTCGAAAACGCAACTGACATGGCGACATGTAGCCACATTCTAATAATATATTCATCTCTATAGTCTAATATTCTATGGAACAATTAGATGTATACATTTTTTTTGCTGCAACAAAATCAAAAGATTTTATGCGTAAAATTAAAGCAAATATGTGCGAGTACTTATACGAATTTGTGGTAACGTAACTTTAAAGTACTTTTCCGTAACTCACATGATAAATTTTCGTGCAGCATTTGTTTAAATGGTAAATTTCTTATATATATAAATATATATGTGTGTGTGTAAGATAAAAATATATAAATCCTCTGTAACCCGATTATTCGCTGGGATTTTAGTGTACAGTAAATACAGTAAACTGTCTCTGTTCAGCAGTTTTATCTAACCAGCCACTGAAGGACTTAAAAAAGGCCATATTATTACTCAAAATCAAATGTTTACTTAATATTTAGACCGATTCTAAATGAGGAAAAAGCAGGACCATATCTTCTTTCATTCTGTTTGGCACGAATTATGTTATAAACTACAGCAATAAAATACTAAATTCTCAGTCTTCATTATTTGCCATGTATGTACCCATCCTATTGTAAGTTTTATTTTTTTTTTATAGAAATGCTCATTGTCTCTTTTAAATTTAGATTATTTAATTTCTTCAGTTTCAGAAATTGCTTTTTTTCGCAACAGTTATTTCACGTTTCCTTACAATAATTAAAATTCGTTTTATTCCTTATATCATTCACAATCTAAGTAAATATTTGATATTATTATTTTTATGATTAAAGCTGGAAAATATTTGGCAAATTTAGTTCTTAAAAGGGAATTGGGAAAAATAATTAAAATGTAAAAAATCACAATAGGATAAACAAAATAAAAACTATTAATTAGCCTTTTCTTAGTGTTTCAAATAGAACTTCTCAGGGGATAAGTATTCAAAAGAATAAACCTGGGTATTTAATGAGTGCTGAATACACGTTTCGTTCCTCCTGTCACTCTGAAATCCGTACCGTTGTTAAATAATTGTAGAAAAATGTTAAATAATAATTCTGTTTATGTTAGAATGACTTGAACTACGCAGATGTGTCTTAGGTACACTACTATTGAAATGACAATATTTAAAAGTAATACAAAAGATAGTCTTAAATGAGATGTAAATTTATACATAAAACAAACAATACTGATAAAGATAGAGAAGATATAAAAACATAGAGAAAATGTATACAAATTGTTCGGAAACGTAATTCAAGTTTATTAATTTATGAAAAACTCGCGAATTAGGTCTAAAAGCAAGATTTTTTTAATTCATTCAAGCTGAATTATAAGAAATCTAAATTCTTAACTTGCTATTAACAGATGTACACTAGTGTGCAAAAATTAAGGACGAGACTTTGTACAAAAACTTTCCAAATCAACACATTTAATACCGTAAGATCCCCAATACGTAAAGACATGAGTAATGTATGCAAAACTTACTAAAAGAGAAATCGGAGGGATAAAAAGAAGCTTTATTGAAAAAGTAGCATG